CCCGCTTTGTCTTCAGCGGTTGTGTCAGGAAGGTGAGCATCATAGAATGCCAATTTACTAGAAGAAAGTATTCTTGTGTTGAGGGAGTACTTGAAGCACTTCAACTTTTATGGAGTATTCTGAACAGATGAGTAACGAGATCTGACTTTGGATTTTTAAAACATTTCTCTGGCTGCTATGCTGAAAACAGCGTAGGAAGCAGGACTGTCAGAGCAGTGAGAACACTCAGAAGGCTCTTACTAGCCTGGTGCGAGAGATGGTGGTGGCTTGTAACCAAGTGGTAGCAATAGGAATGCGAAGTGGTTTGATGCTGGACATATTTTGAACAATCTGAAACATTTAGGGGTTAACAACCCTAATAATTCCTTACCTTGACCCTGCCTTTAGACCAATAATACATAAAATTCTAGTGATTTTCATTGACTCTTTAAGATTTGCAGTATTTAACTGTTTTACCTTAAAAGTAACTTAAGGGCAGAGATTTGAGTTTTAATATTTCTTTTTCTTTTTAATATTTCTTTATAATGGTTAATCAGATTATAAGCAATCTAGAAAATAAAATGAGTACATAGATGCACTGTGAAGTTCTATAAAGCAACATACAATTAGTTATCAAATGAGTGCTGCAGATGGTATGTATTATGGTCCCACACCTGGAATCACAATACCATACTCAGCACATTTTTTATATTCCAATGAAAAATAAAGCATCTCTAAACTATTTCCTACCAATCAGTTACAAAAAGGAGTTGCTCTAGCTGCCGCTACCCTCTGATGTTAATTGGCTATATGGCCAATTCACTTTTAAACACTAACCTATGATATAAATTTAGGAGAACCAACAGTCAGTACCACGCTCCGTCTCTAATTTGGGTGATGCATGCATTTGCAACCCAGCTTTCACCCTTGCTTCAGTCAAAGAACTAACACAGCAATGAGACAATGCAGACCGTCTTTTTTTTTTTTTTGTCTTTTACTTCACCACATACATAGATGATCTCTTCAGAGGATCCCCCCACCCCACCCTTTATTAATTGTAGAAAAAGCTATCTATGTAATCCAGTTAGAACTAACAACTAATTCACACACAACTTTCTATTCTTGGGGAAACAGTTCACCTAAATCACCAGCTGGATGAGTTGCTTGTGATTTTATGGGTGACTAGCTTCTGTTTGCATTTTTTTCAGTTCTTTGTCTCTGAGGATCATTAGAGAAGTCCTTTTTCAGGAAAAACATCACCCACCACCCTTCATACCTCCTTTGTGACCTTTGAAGGTTACCACGCAGTTAGCATCTTCAGCTGACCAGATCTTCAACTGGGCATCCATTCCCCCACTTAGAACCACAATGCCTGATGGGAAAAACCTGCAACAGTTCACATCAAACACATGTCCCTCCAGTACTCTCTGGAAAAAACAAAAGAAAATTCCATGCTAGTTCTCTTGTTTATCCCTTGATATTCTCTTACTTCCCATATCTTTGATCCTCTATATGAAATATTTACATGCTATATCCACATGCAGAGTTTTAAAACTAAGGCTATCCAAAAAATCTCTTCAGCTCATCTGTTGGCCAGGCAGTATTCTGAGAGCTATTCCTGGGCTTTGGCTACAGATATTTTGGAATCAAATGCCAGGGCTCTCAGCTATCCATAGGCCTGGAGACTCTTTTCTGATCTCTTCTAAGGTCTTTTGTGTAGGATGGAGGACTCAGCCATTTGGTCAGTATAAGGATCCAGCTACTCTGTCTTGGGACAACCATCACAGGCAATTCATACTGGGATGTCTATTGCTGGCCAGGCTCCTCCAATGCTCCAACTCACTCTACTTGGAAATCACCAGGTTTGAGGATGTTCTCAGTTAACAAATGAGAGAGACCAATTATGACTCAGAGTGACCCGAAAAGATAAAGTCAAAGTGCTCCACAAGATTTCCAAGGCTAGAAATCTTTACAGAATCAGACTATCTCGTCTTTCTCTGAAGTGGTTCAAATCACTCTCAATCTTTTGTTGCAGCCCAGTGCTTACTACATTGCACCACCCAAACCCACTGCCATCGGGAGTTCGATTCCAACACTCAGCAAGAGACCCTATAAATGAGTTTCCAACACTATAACTCTTTATAGAGGCAGACAGCCTCATCTTTCTCCTGCAGAATGCCTGGTGGGATTGAACCACCAAGCTTGAAGTTGGTAGTCCAATGCCTAGCCCATGAAGCCACCAGAACTTCTTAATTGAAATATAGTGGTCCTACATTTCTAGAATTCTTTAAGCATAAAAGTATATACAAAGTCATTACTCTAAGTTCTCCATTGGAAGCCTGCCAGATCTTCATGCTCCCATCAGTGCTAGAAGACACGCCAAGGCCTCCTCCACTGGAAATGTCCAGACATGGTATCTGTTCCAAGAGAACACAACCAGGGTTTCAAATGATGAAATGTTCTTATTTTCTTGAAATATGTTATAAACTCCTACAAGACTTAAGACTATGCTTAACACTATCATTACCAATCTTCCAACAAGACCAGAGCCAATACATTTTACTTCTTCAAATGAAAAGATATTCCTGCAATCATCTGTAGTTTCTTTTTTTTATTATATTTTAATTCTATTTTTTCCATGAACTTCTTGAAGCCCCTGCATATGTCTTCTCTTCTTTTGTTTTTAAATCATTTTATTGGGGGCTCATACAGCTCTTATCATACTCCACACATACATCAATTGTATAAAACACATTTGTACATTCGTTACCCTCATCATTCTCAAAACATTTGCTTTCCACTTAAGCCCCTGGCATCAGCCCCTCGTTTTTGCCCTTCCCTCCCCACTCACCTCTCCCTCATGAACCCTTCTTAATTCATAAATTATTATTTTGTCATATCTTACACTGCCTGACATCTCCCTTCACTCACTTTTCTGTTGTCCATCCCCAGGGAGGAGGTTATATATAGATCCTTATAATCTGTTACCCCTTTCTACCCCAACCTCCCTCCACCCTCCGGGTATCACCACTCTCATCACTGGTCCTGCAGGATTCATCCGTCCTGGATTTCCTGTGTTTCCAGTTCCTATCTGTACAAGTGTACATCCTCTGGTCTAGCCAGATTTATAAGGCAGAATTGGGATCATGATAATGGGTGGGGAGGAAGCACTTAGGAACTAGAGAAAAATTGTATGTTTCATCGTTGCTACACTGCACCCTGACTGGCTCATCTCCTCCCCATGACCCTTCCATAAGGGGATATTCAGTTGCCTACAGATGGGCTTTGGGTCCCCACTCCGCACTCCCCTCATTCACAATGATATGATTTTTTGCTCTTTGATGCTTGATACCTCATCCCTTCAACACCTCGTGATCACACAGGCTTGTGTGCTTCTTCCATGTGGGCCTTGTTGCTTCAGAGCTAGATGGTCGCTTGTTTACCTGCAAGTCTTTAAGACCCCAGATGCTATATCTTTTGATAGCCAGGGACCATCAGCTTTCTTCACCACATTTGCTTAGGCACCCATTCGTCTTCAGTGATAGTATCAGGGAGGTGAGCCCACAATGATATGATATATTGTTCTTTGATGCCTGATGACTGATCCCTTCGACACCTTGTCATCACGCGGGCTTGTGTGCTTCTTCCATGTGGGCTTTGTTGCTTCTGAGCTAGATGGCCATTTGTTTACCTTCAAGCCTTTAAGACCCCAGATGCTATATCTTATTGATAGCTGGGCACCATGGAATGTCAGTTTAATAGAACAAAGTATTCTTGCATTGAGGGAGTACTTGAGTGGAGGCCCAATGTCCTTCTGCTACCTTAATACTAAACCTATAAATATATGCACATAGATCTATTTCCCCACCGTCATATATATATTTACTTATGTACATGCCTTTATTTAGACCTCTATAAATGCCCTATGCCTCCTAGCTCTTTCCTCTATTTCCTTTGACTTTCCTCTTGTCCGACTATCATGTTCAGCCTTCATTTGGGTTTCAGTAATTCCTCTCGGTTACATTATCCTTGATCACACCCTACCAGGCCTCCTGCACCCTCCTCACCACCGATTTGGATCACTTGTTGTTCCCTTGTCATTTGTTAACACCACTACTTTTCCCACCACCTTCCCCTCTCCCATGTCCCCCTGGAACTGTCAGTCCCATTGTTTTCTCCTCCAGATTTTTCATCCAGCCTATCTTATTTAGACAGACCTGTGGAGATAACATACACAAAAACAAGACAGAGAAAACCCAAGCAACAAAAGAAAACAACAACAAAAAGCCAATGACAAAAAAATAAAACAAAAGAACCCCACGACAGGAAAACAACAAAAAAGAAAAGCTTGTAGTTGGTTCAAGGACTGTTTGTTGGCCTTTAGGAGTATTTTCTGGTCAAGTCTGATGGGGTGTCAAGACCTGGCCCCAAAGTCTATTTTTGGTATTCCCTGGGGTCTTCGTTGCTCTGTTCCCCTTGCTGTTCTGTTGCACGCCCTTAGTGTTTTGCCTAGGTGTGGTGGGATCAGATCTGGCACAATTCCCATACTGTGTCTCCAGTGTTGTTCCCTGTAGGGCTATGGGTCAGTGAGGGATGCCATGTATCCTAGTGGGGCTGGCCATGTGGTCTTCTCTGTGGATTGGCTGCTCTGAACAGGAATATCGTCATCAATGCTTGGTGGGCCAGGATGTGCTCCACTCTCTTCTTCCCCCTTCATTTGCTCCTGTGTGCTCTGATCAGACATGTCCCTCTCCCTGAGCTCCAGCTTCAATGCTGTCCTCTGAAATAATTCTTCCGGGGGGATGAGCAGCTGTCCACATAATTGGGATTGGGGCCAGCCCCTCAGCTCCCTCCACTGGTTCCCTCTTATTTCACATAAAAACGTATCCCCATTACCACCGGACTTCAACCCGATGCTCCAAGATGTGACACAACATACCGGCATGAAGCCGGGAACGAAGAAGGAAGTATAATGAAGCTCTTCAAATGACATGTAGAAAGAGAGCATAGATTCCCATAACGTATATAATTCTATGATAAAAAGTTGTAAAACCATAATGGACTGTGAAAAGCACGTTAGAATTTTTAAAGGAAAATGCTTGGAGAGATTAAATGAAATAAACATGGTGCTGGCCTATTGTAGGCAAAAAATAAGGCAGATGTCATTGAGTTGGCTGCAACTCAGTGACCCTCGACACCAGGGAATGAACACTGCCTGCCCGGGACCTCCTGCACCACCCCACTGCTGCAGTCGCTGTCAATCCCCCTCGCTGATGCGCTCTCTCTCTCTCTCTTATTAACCTGATCTTTTTTGTTTTTATTGCTGCTCTGCTTCTTACTGCCCCTCTACTTCCCCAAACATGATGTCTTTCTCCAGGGTCTGCTTTCTCTTGATAACATGTCCAGTGCATGTGAGCCTACGTCTTGCTACCTTCTTTCCTTATACGAGGTATGCTGGCTGTACTTCTAAGGCAGATTTGCTCAGTCTTCTGGAAGTCCATGCTGTAGTCTGTATTTCTCACCAATGTTATAATTCAAAAGCTCTCTTTCAGTCTTCATTATCCATTGGCCACCTTTTACATAGATCTGAAGTAACTGAAAATACGGAGCCTTGGATCAGGTCATCTTCGTCCTCAGAATGAAGTCTTTGCTTCAGAATACTTTAAGGATGCCTTTTAAAACAAATTTGCCCAACCCAATTTATTATTTGATTTCCTGATTACTGCTACCATGGGCACTGATTATGGACCCAAGTAAAATGAAAACCCTCGACAACTTCAATCTTTTCTGCTTATGATGTTGCTCACTGGTCCAATTGTAAAGATTTTTGTTTTGTGTTGCTGTGTAATCCATAGTGAAGACTCTAGTCTTTGACCTTCATCACCAAGGATTTCAAGTCCTCTTCACTTTAAACGAGAAAGCTAGTGTCGTTTGCAAATCACAAGTTAATAAGTTTTCCTACTGATACTGTATTTTCCTTCATATAGTCCAGTTTCATGGGTTATTTTGCTCAGCATAAAGAATTAATAAGTGAAAGGTTACATGTCTGATATACATCTTTCTGATTTTAAACGACAGAGTATGTATTCCCTTGCTCTGTTAAAAAAGGACTGCCTCTTGGAGTGTGCAGGTTCCATGTGAGTACAAGTAAGGGTTCCTGGAAATATCCAGAATTTGTCCTGACGCACAAAGTCAAATCACTTTGCATAATCAATAAAACACAGGTAAATAGCATCCTGGTATTTCTGCTTTCAGCCAAGATCTATCTGATTCAGTAATGATATGACTCATTCAATGTCTTCTTCTAAACCCACCTTGAATTTCTGGTAGTTCATTGTTAATATACTTCTGCAATAGTTTTTAAATTATCGTCAGCAAAACTTTGTGTGGTATTTATTATAATTATTTGATAATTTCTGCATTCTGATGGTTCGCCTTACTTTGGAAACGGTACAAATATGGATCTCTTTTCAGTCAACTGAGCAGGTAGCTGTCTTCCACATTTGTTGGCATAGATGAATACTAAAAAAATATATCTTTTTGTTGAACCATTTGAATTGGTATTGTCAATTTCTGCAATATTGTTTTATGTCACTAGTTTCAGGGTAGCTTGGATTTCTTCCTTTAATATCATCAATTCTTTATCATAGGCTACTTCCTGAAATGACTGAAATCTGATTTATTCTTTTTCTGGTATGATTACTCTGTGTACTTTCATTGTGCACAGTTCAATATTTTATCCATAGAATCCTTCAATGTTCAAAATTGAGGCTTGAATATTTTTCTTCAGTTCTTTCAGCTTGAGAAAAGCCAGACCTGTTATTTCCTTTGGGTCTCTTAATTCTAGGTGTTGGTACATTTCAAATTAATAGTTTGTCTTCTTGTCCTGCCCTTTGGGAGCTTCTATTTATTGGTTATTACTGTTATAGGTATTAATAAGGGTTTTTACTCTCTTATACTTCCTAAACTTTTATCACTAATTATATATTTGTTTTGTAATAAGAATAAACAATAGCTATTATTTAAAATGTACCATATAACAATAAGTAAAAGACTTTCACATAATCAGTCCATGTAGCTATTTCTCACTTTTACTATCAAAAGTCTATAATAGGAGAAAAAGCTTTATCACAAAGGGCTTTGGAAATTATTTCTCAATATGCTATCCTTGGAATTTTAAGAAAATGCCCCTGTCCTGTAGGCACAGGGACCAACTTTTAAGAACAACAACCTGTTAAGAGAAAAACAGCTATTAATCTTCAATACCCAAACACTCTCAGAAGCTCTAGTGGAACATACATAAAGGTTATTTCATACAGATCCTCTCTTAAGATCACCAGAGTGGATGTTTATACAGATTCTAACCCTAGGTTTGCCATACACATCATATTTTATTAGTTTTATTACCTTATAATGCAAAAATATGAATGATACACCAGTTATGAAAATATTTATAGAGGTAGACAAGTAGATAAAATAAAAAATTGACATGCTATTATGCTTTTTTTCACTTACCAAGAAACTTACACTCAGGAATTCAGGACAGATGATCCCTTCAGGACCAGTGCTGAGAGTGGTGATACCGGGAGGGTAGAAGGAGGGTGGGGTGGAAAGGGGGAACCAATTACAAGGATCTACATATAACCTCCTCCCTGGGGGACGGACAACAGAAAAGTGGGTGAAGGGAGACGTTGGATAGTGTAAGATATGACAAAATAATAATAATTTATAAATTATCAAGGGTTCATGAAGGAGGAAGGAGGGGGGAAAATGAGGAGCTGATAACAAGGGCTCAAATAGAAAGCAACTGTTTTGAGAACAGTGATGGCAACAAATGTGCTTGACACAATGGATGGATGTATGGATTGTGACAAGAGTTGTACGAGCCCCAAATAAAATGATTTTTAAAAAAAAGATACTTACACTCTTTGAATGAATTCTGGAAAAGGAGGTATACGGTGCCAAAAACTTGGAAGATGCATTTTCCTTTAGACATGAAATATGAATGCTTTTCTAAACAAAGAGGGAAAGATAAAGTCCATCAGTTCAGTATTCCACTGTAATTAAGACCTCTTAAAAACAAAGAAACGTTAGAACTACTGGAAATTCTCACCTTTTAGGTATATTCTCTCTAACCCTCCTCCTTCCCTAGCCAGCACATTTATACCCAGTCCCCCATAGCTCAGGTGTCCTTTCACTGCAAAGGATGTAATGCAATCTTGTATCCCTTTAAGATGCCATTATTTTAAAAATCTTTTACGTTGAAATAAAATGTCCCTTAGAGTCAGATCAACAATAAGCCAAACCTGACAAACATGACTGCACTAATTCTTATAATAAAATCTAATATAAATGCATGGAATTAGCAGTAGGGCAAGGACAGGATTAGCAGAAGAGTGAATATAAAGATGTGAAGAAAGTTAACTCCAGCTCCTAAACCACGGATCTTACAGACAAATCTAAAAGTATACTTGCTGCCTACAGCAGTTACATAATCTCCTATCAACTTGAGCGAAGGGGTGGAGTCTAGCCTGTCAATCAAGTCACAGCAGCCAAAGATGCCTCTGTGTGCATGGTCTTCTCCTGAGAATTCTGGGAACTCATATCTTCATCCCTGGAGAAGGGACACACCCTCTCTGCTACACATTCCTGTTGAAAAGTCACATGGAGCCATGCTTATGGCAGCCAGGGCCCTGGAGATGCTTCCACACTGGATCCACAAGATTTTCCAACCATAGGCCTGTGATCTTCCTGTATTCAGTATTATCGCGTGTGGTGCATGAGTCTGAAGAGGAATTTATAGACTGGTACAAGACATATGGGCTAATATCAAACCTATGGACTTAATATGGACTGGGCTGGGATGTTTTCTTAATATACAATTACTCTTGATATAAAGCTCTTTCTTGGTCTGGGGGGCTGGCCCCAGTCCCAAATGCTAAGTGGATGCCTGCCCCTCCCCCCAGAAGAATTTATTTCAAAGGA